CCCCAGCGTTCATTACGAACAAGACTGTACGCCAATTTCATCATGCTCTATAGATTTTGTTTGTCGCAGGAAATGTCAGTGAGCACCCCGTACATGAGGAGATGGTCCCAACCGGGCCTAGGAAATATGACAGTAACAAACGACAAGTGTTTCTCATCTCAGTAATGAACAAATGTCACCGCCTTCTTTTAAATCCCACTCTAGCGATTTGTTTCGATTCTCGCCTTCACGGCAAGTATTCAAAGTAATGTCACTTACTCATGAAGATTAAAGGGTGAAATGATGAGTGTCAAACGCTTCTCATGACAAGTTTCCCGTACTTGACATTTGTCTAGGATCTTTGAAAATTTACAGGTGAGTCATACTTGTACTTTTGTTTGCCCGGGGATTCCTTGCGCTCTTCGGCTTGGGAGGGGCGCACTTCTGCTAGTTCCTTGTGGTAATTCATTCAAATAATAGGGGCTCGTTCCGGTGCGATCTGTAAACTCTAGTGGTTGAGCCGTTTTGGTCGCAGGAATTCACAGGCTTTCCCAAGGTACCCTGCACAAGGTTAGCTCAGTACCATTCAGTGCCCCTTCCAAGACAAACTGCGCCAAATTCTGGTTGCAGGTAACGAACTTCACACAAACGGTAAGTCCACTTAAGAAGAGATTCCCTCCACTTAGCTCGTCTAGCAAAGGTGCTTTTTGCTCTGCACTGCCGTTCATTAAGGACATGCAATTTTGGGGAAAAAGAGGCCAAATAGTTCTGCATTTACGGAACGATGTTTTTTTAAACGACGTCAACATAACTTAATGCTTCGTACTTTCTGGCCGTTTCTTACCCGCTATTGACTATGACTTAACGCATCATTAATCACAATTACATGATGAAAGAATAACAGTGGAAGTCATTTCCTTCCACAGGAAGTTAACTAAATGCCTTCGACACAGGTTTATATAATGGATTCTCTAAAAAAACGATAAGTCATACTTCTACAAGTAAGTTTTTACTAAGTTCCTCTTTATGCATAGTTTCTGCTTTGTATGATTTATAGACTTACCTTTATCAATTGCAGAGCCACACCACTGCAGTAGGAGACAACGGTTTTCAAACATTTCTCATGGCACACAAAATTGCACACTGAAATAATTAACAAAATTAGCGCTGAAAGCGTAGGCACATTGAAATCCACACAACAGTTTAGGACAGAGAGGATCACGATTTCTGCGCACCTAGAGGCATGACTGCCAAAAACCTCCTTGCAACGCGGTCGCATTGCTTCCGACGCACCTCAATCAATACTTTGCACCACATAGTATCTATCATGACTTCTAGCTTAGTATTACGACAAAGGTACCGTTACTTGAAGTAACGGAGAAAAATTGCAAGTTCGTCGTGTAGGTAAGCATAGTACAGAAT